TATAAAATATTAATATACATTACCACTTTTATAGGAGAGCTCTGGAGGCGTAGTGACAAGAAGCTGCACTGCAGTCTCAAAGGCAGGCAGTTCTAATCCACCACTGCTCCAAGGGGAGAAGGAAGGGCAATCTCCCGTGTGATTTACTGCCTCTGAAAACCTGCCAGAGGGTAGCTATGGGTCAATTCCAACTTGATGGCACACAACAGCAACAGCAAACCCTTTTATACATATAGATTATACACCTCAAAATTTTTAATTATCTACATCTGGCAAATCATAGAGGGAGCTCTGGTAGTTTAGTAATAAGGAGTCGCACTGCCAACCCAGAGACATGCAGTTTGAATCCACCAGCGGCTCTGCAGAAGAAACATGGGTAATCTTCTCCCATGCAATGTACTGCCTCTGAAAACCTGCCAGAGAGTCAGCTGTGAGTTGGTTCCCATTCAACAGTACACAGCAACAGCAATCTAATAATATACATTACTCCGACTTCTGGTATGCGATCTTTTATTTAGGGCATAAAAATGTGTCTTTGGTATCTTATCAAGCCAACAGTCCAGTTGTTAGTCTGCTATTTTCACAAGTACATACTTCTCACTTTTTCTGACTTCTAATATACTCTCATAAAACCCCAGGTTCTCTGTTAGGGCACCATCCAGTGTTATGACTGATCATGGTCTGCTGTTAACTACAGTCTGTAGATTCATTTAGTCAGGCAGTTAGAGAAGTTCACATGCTCATTTTCACCTAGAACAAACTTTGACCTTAGTGGTGCATGAGGCCCTTCCTCGTCCAGACTGTGATGTGTAGGGCATGGAATGTTCTGGAGGCATAGAGACTTCCTGTGTATCCCTGGGGCCGTTTCCTGAGAAAACCAGAACCTGACTAGCAGCTCTCCGATGGAGCACCTGAGGTCAGATTGCAGCTCAGCCACAATCTGCAGGAGAATCACATTTGAATTTGTCCTGCCTTTTACACTGTGTGCCATTAGGTATTGAGATAATATCAAACACAAATATTAAAAAATATTTCATGTCCTTGAGATGAGAACTTGGTGTTCTTTTAAAGATCACGAATGAGTACTCAAGGCTCTCTTAGTTCCATAGAACTTTCACTCAGAAGAATATAAAGAAGTTACTCTAAACTGCCATAAATTATTGAGGTTAATTTCAGCTGCTAAGATCTGCCTCAGATGGTGGAAGGAAAGTTAAATTTGCATTTGTGTTAATACTGTTCCTTAAACTCCATAATATGATTTTTAATTTCTTTTCAAATTCCTTTCTTTTTAGTCGATCACAGAAAAAAATGCAGATGGTTTCAAATATCTCTTTTTTCGCCATGTTTGTTATGTACTTCTTGACTGCCATTTTTGGCTACTTGACATTCTATGGTAAGTAACCTCTCTACTAATACATAAATATAAGTATTTATATAAATGAGCAAAAATGAATATTTAAAATGACATTTTTTAAATGGAAGTCAAATAACCTCTGTTCATTGATTTTAATGGTCTTCTGTTCTACTTAATTTCTCATGTTAACTGCAGAATTATTACTGAAATAATGTACCATAATTTTTTTTTCTCCTAATCTTTCCTTAAAAGAAATTGTGTCTTAGGAGCATACCACCTTTACTGAGAAAAGTTTACTGAGAAAACTTTCAGTAGAGAAGGCATTCCTAATTGATGTTAGACATTGGGTCAGATTCTATTTATAGAAAAGAGAGACAGAAACAGATGTTGAAAGTGAGAAAGAGCAGAGTGCTACACTCCTGACACTCTGCATTAATTAGAAAATGCTCAATTGTAAACGAGAGGTTGGAGTCTTATAAAGCTCAAAGAAATGGCATAAAGGTTAAAAGGAATGAAATCCAAAAAAGAGAACAGCATGGTTTCATTTGTCACTTTTCCGGTCCTCAGAGTGAACAGAGGTTACTTTCTTCTCTTTCTTCATTTTCCTTTATTCAAATTATCCTGTTGCTCTGCATAGCATCATTCATTATTATTATTCTTGAGAGCCTAATTTAAGTAGATACATTTTGTAATCTTCTCTATTAAATAATATTTCCTCAAGACCTTCTTTCATAATCATAAATATTTTAAAATTTTAAGCAAATTGAAAGATTGAGTTCAGCTTAGAGAGAAAGGTTAGCCTGGTTATAGCCTGGTTGTTTTTATCATTGTCTCAAACAATGATGAGTAATGTTCATTAATGAATACATAAATGCCACATTTAGTTTTTGCATGAAAGATGGTATTTCCACAGTTCCTGCAGAGTCGTGGGGTTGAGGGTGGGTAAAGGGTGAGCCTCACTGTTAACTTGTACAAACTGATTTTTCTTAGTGTATTCTTCCCACCTCCTCCATACGTAATAGAACACCAAACTTTTTATTTAACTCAGGAGTCCCTGAGTGGTGCTAAAATTTAAGTGATAAGCTACAAAGTTAAAGGTGAGAGGTTTAAGTCCACCCAGAGGTACCTCAGAGAAAAGTCTTGACAATCTGCATCCAAAAATTCAGCCATTCAAAATTCTATGTAACACAGGTCTCTGATGATACCATGAGTCAGAAATAACTGGACAGCAACTGACTTTTTATTGTGTAGTTTAAAGGAAAAAGATGCAGCTGCTCTTTGACTCAAAGAAACTCGGATGGATATAATTTTATTCTAACTTATGATCCCTTTTTAAAAGACAGGAGCAAGTTTTTTTGGTACAAGTTATAATTGTCATTCCATACCCAGGATCCTTGCCTTCACACCAAGAAACCCTTGAAAGAGTCACAGAGGATATGCTCACTTACCAAAAAAGTACACATTTCCATGCCCTCAGTGACTGCCATCCCTGGCTTTAAAATACTTTTACAAAACAAAATAAAAACATGGAAAAAAAGATTTCCTGACAGCTGCTAGGTCTGTGAGGGTGCTGTAGCAGCCTAGTGTGTAGGGAGTTGCATTGCTTATCTTAAGGTCCAGACTCTCTAGTGGTTCAAATCTACCCGTGGCTTAGAGAGAGAAAGATGGGCAATGTCCTCCTGTAGCCTCCCTACAACCCACCCCTGGAGGATCAAATGAGTTGGCTCTGACTCTAAACAGTGAGTTCATTTGCATTACATTTGTAAAATACCCCTGTGTTGGAAGTTTAAAAAGGAGAATTTGAAAGAAGCTTCGCATAGCCTGCAGTCCTAATCCTCACCCCCCCAACCCCACCACCCCCACAGCTGCCTCCCCCCACCTCCCAATGCTTCTCTAACTCGGTTTAAAGACAGGTACCAAACTGGGGAAGCTAGTTTAAGAAGTTTTTGTTCTCAAACCATATGTTTTAGTCTTAATTCTACTTTACCCCCAGGTTTTAGTATTAATTAAGCATTCCTATTTTATGTCGCTTCTAGTGATTGCTTTGAATCTCTTTCAAATGAAGTTTCTACTGCTTAGGACGGTTTGTCTTTGCCAAGGGATTTTTCAACTTCAAAAATTTTTTTTATTGGACAGAACGTTTTCTTCCCCTTCAATTTGTTGTTCTAAGGGGAGGGGAGAGCAAATGCCATTCAGAAATGTGCTTTGTCTCTTTTCAAACAGATCTTTCTCTTCCCTCGTTTTAGACAATGTGCATTCCGACCTACTTCACAAGTACCAGAGTAAAGACGATATCCTCATCCTGACCGTGCGGCTGGCTGTCATTGTCGCTGTCATCCTCACTGTGCCGGTGTTGTTTTTCACGGTGAGCAAAAGGCTCCAGTGCAATCTGAGAAAGCGGGAGCATCCCCTTGACTCCTGCCTTCTGGAGTCCATCTCAGAAGGAGCCTGTGGGCAGTACCTTTACCGAGTCATTGACACCACCCCAGGAATGATCCCGTGACCCTGTGGCAGGAAGTGGCACCAGCAAATTAGCATAGTCTATAGAGGTCTTCTAGTGGATAAGGGGTCATGGTTCCAACACCGAAATAAGTAGTTTAAATCCGCTAGTCGCTTTTTTGAGCTCTTGTGGCCTGGTGTCAAGGAGCTGCGCTGCAGTCCCAAAGGCAATCGGTTCGAGACCACCAGCTGCTCGGCAGGAGAAGGATGGGCAGTCTCTTCCTGTGTTGTTAACTGCCTCTGAAAGCCCGCGGAAGGGTCAGCTGTGGGTGGGTTCTGGATGATCTCTTCTTCTGTCTCTGCAAACTTGATGGAGGTTCAGCTATGAGTCCATTACTACTGTAGGGCTTCTAACAGCAATGACATAGTGGAATGACCTGTGTGGTACAAATAGTAAACACATTCTGTTCCTAGACAGAAAGTGTGAGGTTCACATTTGCCCTGAGGTGGCGTCGAAGAAAGTCCTGGCGATCTAGCTCCAAAAGCTCAGACAGTGGCACCACAAGGGCTCAGACTCCCAGAACTGCGGTGCTGCTGCTAAGTGCCATCAAGTTGACGACAAGTCATAGTGAACCCTATTCTGAGTCATTTTTATGGTCTCTGTCCTGCTCAAGCCCACTGTGGTGGTCACTCTGTCAATTCATCTTTCTGCAGGTCTTCCTCTCTTTCCCTGACCCTCTATCCCAGACATAGAATGAGATAAAGCAACATCCTCCATAGACATTTGCTATCTAGGAGTTGTTATAAAAATAAACTTCCATCTTGTTAAGGGGAGGGGGGTGGAATCAGACATTGAAACTCCAGGAGAATACAGTTTACTCTCACACACATGGGTTTGCCTTTAGTCAGAATCAATACTGTGTGAGCCTGTTTTATCATGGAATGAATCTTAATTCTAATTCATCTGTCTCTCTTTTTTTTCCTTTTCCACAGAGAACTGTAGGTAGAATTTTTTATCTAGGCCATATATGACAAGGAAATGGCATGTATTCAGAGGATAAACATTCACGTTGTAGGCAAGACAAATAAAACTTCCTCACCCTTGAAAAACTATCTACCTCTTTATAAATAAAAATACTTTCATATAAATCAAGCCTCTATACTTCCCAAACTGCTAAGATGTCTATAAATTCAGCGGGCATTACAAAATCAGAAATTAGATCTCTAAGAAAACAACAACTTTATTTTTAATTAGGAATTTAAATTACAGCCTACTCTTCTCCCCAGTAATATTTTCCTTCTAAGCTCCAGATCAAAACTCTAATCACATAAGTACAAAATTATTATGGTGATAAAAAACCATTACAAAATATTTCACTGACCCCCATGCACCAAAATCTCTGGCTCTGGGAGGGGACAGAAGGCTGGCCTTGCAGAATCTTTGTTTCTTCTCCTGCAGGTCCGTTCATCTTTATTTGAACTGGCTAAGAAAACAAAGTTCAATTTATGTCGTCATATCGTGGTTACATTCATCCTCTTGATTATTATCAACCTGCTGGTGATCTTCATACCATCCATGAAGGATATTTTTGGAGTCGTAGGTATGGCACGTTACTGACTTTGAGCTTGCCATTCCTCCCCAGCCTTCTAGAAAGTGAGAATGTCACACCAACAACTCCAAACTTACTTTCCTTTTGTATTTTGCAGGAGTAACATCAGCTAATATGCTTATTTTCATTCTCCCTTCATCTCTTTACTTAAAAATTACAAACCAGGATGAAGATAAAGGAACTCAAAGAATTTGGGTAAGTTTCATGCTTCTAATTCTTCTAGTTATTTTTTTTTTCACTTAAATGTAAATTCATTTAAATTGGTTATCCAATCAAGGGTAAATGTAAATGAAAATTGATTGGCTGTCCACATTCTGGATTTAGCCATCCATCCACCTGTAATTCTCATTAACTCTTCATGGAACTTGGCTTTTTGAGACAGATTTCTTATTTAATGAAATCCGCTTTGCTTTTCAATGCAATATGTCTCCTCTTCCCTTCTTTCTCAAAGAAAAATATTTTCTGGTCAGCAAAACTTAACGATGGCTGATAAAGAATAACGAAACTACCTCTCTGTTTCCATAGCCCTTCTTTTTTTGGTTGAAAGAAGCCATATGTCATGTAATCAATCAATGGTAGAACAACCCACCTGCTACCCCCAAGTAGCCAGGAAATCAGCTGAGTACAGAGACCAGCTCTGAATAGATTCTTTTACTTCTTGTACTATCTATGTAGCATCAAATGACACAGTTTTAGAAAGATCATCACAGCTTATAATAACATCAGATACAAATACACATTGTTTCATCAAGCGGAGCTTCAGATATTACTTTTTAATTATTTTAGAAATGGGAGATTTATAGAACCCTCTAAGTGCCATTTGTACAACAGCATGTATTCACTTTCTTTCTCTCACATTTTGGCAATACTCACATTACAATCATTGTCATAACATTGTTGCACACGTAGGAAGCTCTGGGGACCTAGTGGTAAGGAGTTACATTTCCAACACAAAAATAAGTGATTAAAATCCAACTTTTCAAGAGAAAGATGAGCAGTCTCTTTCCATGTGATTTACAGCCTCTGGAAACCTGCTAGAAGGTCAGCTAAGAGTTCGTTCTGACTCAGCAGCACATAACAGCAGCGAGCAATCAATAAACTACTTGGTGGTGGGTTGTGTTCGGTTTTTTTAATAATAATAAAAAGGCATTGCTTTTGTGTGGATTTTGACTCAGACTACAGTATAGTGTAAATATAACTTTTATATGCACTAGAAAACAGAAATTTTTGTGACTCACTTTATGTGATATTTTATTTATTGTGATAGCCTAGAACCTTGTGCGGAATAGGTCTGAAATATGCCTGTTTAAGAGGAAATGAAAGGAGAGGGAAAGAATTGGTTACACACACACACAAACGCCCATGTATGTGTGGAAAATGTTTACATGACTGAGAATAACCTGTGCCTCTTTGTTGTTCCAGGCTGCCCTTTTCTTGGGCCTGGGCGTCTTGTTTTCCCTGGTCAGCATTCCTTTGGTCATCTATGACTGGGCCTGCTCCTCCAGTAGTGGTGAAGGCCACTGAAACCAGCCAAGAGGAGGCCGCAGTCCTATCTGCTGCTCAGTCAAGCCACCACACATCAGCAACCCCTCATCATTTTCTTTGCAAGTTTACAGAAGCAAAAAGAAATTCACAAAATACTTAAAATGGAGTAACACTTTGGTAACACAACAGAGACCTGCTTCTATAATGGTTCCAGTCCCTCTGATGTTTGGAATCAATTTAAGGATTGTTGTTGAGGGTTTTTTAAATCCAAATTTCATGCAATCATGGCTTCAAGTACTTTTCAACATCAGTTCTTTTTGCTCAGCTAACTTTATGTGTTGTGGCTTCATGGTCTCTTAGAACTTTGAAAACATGATTCCTCAGTCATGTTTATTATACATCCAGGTTCAGAAATAATTTTCCTACTGATGTTCAGCTCACACAATCTGTCTGTACCTTTTTAGAAAAGAATGTTGAATTGTATATATTTATTTTGCTTTACAGTACAAAAAAAATTGTTTCATAAATAGTTTGCCTATTTTGGTTACCATAGCACACAGGGATAATCATATGAAAGCCACAGGGCATGTGCCATTGCTGGATCAGAGCGGCTGGTGACGAAGGGAGCTCTGGCTGCTGGTGGCTGAGCTCAGGCAGTCCAGGCATCTCCAAGGCCTGTGCTGTCTCTGCTCTCAAGCAGAGGCACGCTCTGTCCAGTCATTGTCCGTTGGGAAAGAGTGGGTGTGATTCTTACTTTGATAAATCTCTTCAATTACACATGTGGGTAAGCTCACAAATGACATCTTGCTTCCCTCTTAAGCAGCCTATGTCAGAGTTACCCTAACCCGACTCAACGTCTGCTGGGCAAGATCATTGACCCCTTTGTGGTAAATTGGAAAGCAAGAGTGCTAAAAAAACAATTGCCCATATTCCTCTGATGCAGACAGCCTTCAACCCAGCACCTGTCATGTTGAAGGGGGAAAGGTTTTGTTAAATTACAAACCCAGCATCTTTTATTCATGTCCACCAGCTCTTAGCACAGTGAATAATTCAATGTGTCTGTAACTTAAGGAAGATCTAGGAATAAGTGATTCCTGTTTTATATTTGGTACTTTAGGGGAGTCTTCAAAAGACTTGTTTTATACCTATAGATTTAGGTTATTACAAATATAAGACTTTTGTACCTTAAATAAGCTTCATTTCTATTTCTTCTCATTGAATCTTCATCCAGAGTCTACAAAGGAGAAAAACCTCAAAAGTTGTCTTCGTGAAGTATTTGTGACATAACAGCCATGTCTCTTACATCTGTCTCTTCTCAGCCCTACCTGGAGGGTGGGCTGTTACTGCCTGTGCTGACCTGGCCCAACAAGAGGCCAGAGTTATCTCATACTCTGACTCTAACCCTTCTCTTAAAATAAGTGGGAAAGGAAACCATCCAGACAGAGACTCTCTCAACAAGAAGAAACTTAAGCTGGACCATCACTTGTGATTAGAATGTCAAAATCACATCAGAAGAAATGTGTTCCATGAGCTGGTCTATTCAAACTGAGCTTGTGTTTTACCTATATTCTGGTTTAATTTTTCAAACATGTAAGTTTGCCAGGCACAGATTTCTTATCTTGAGATAAGCAGAATCTAACCGCAGACTGTTGGCAGAGTTTCCAGGCATTTGGCTTTGGGATCTGTTCCTCCCCAACTCAAATCCCCAAAGGCAATTCCTGCTCACAGACCTCCAGGCGCAGAGCAGGGAAAGGAAACATCCCTCCTCTTTGTAGACTAGCGTCCCATAGATAATGCAAGCATGGGAGCACCTTCTGGGACCTTCTTGGGGGAGAATGAAAGGTTATTTTCTACATTGCTTGAAAGGATCATCATAGATTTTAATGTAATGCTACATTTTAGTTCAGAGTTTAGGCATTTGTATACAAAGACCAGTAAAATCCAGAAACTTCTCTATCATTTTCAGAAGTATTTTCCAAATTACTAAACAGTGAGAAACCTAGCAAAACAAAAGTTGGCCCTTGACAGCTTGTCTAGAACACCCATAATGAAATTGGCAAGTGATTGGTGACCCTCCATTCCAGAAATACAGATTTTTGTTTTCAAGATACGTTATGCTGTTCTGTTTTCCTTTTACTAAATTGTGATGATCCATTTCACACTCACAAAGCCCATTTAGAAATTGACCATTAACTCTGGGATGTGTGATTATTTTCAATCTCTGCATTTTTTGTATCAGTACAAGAAAGTTTTTGAGAGGAGGCATGTTGTTGATGTCTGTGGTACCATATGTTTAAAAACCCCTCTATGTTTACCTGAGTCTTTTTCCTTGACTGAATATAATGACCCTCCTGTAATTTGTCAAATGTTGCTGATGAATTGCCTCACTTGTGCGGGATTAGCCATAAATTGTGCTGCTCTTAGTCTTCTTGTTCAAAGTAGTGAACTAGTAGCCAAAAGTACATACATTGCAGATATTAGGTAGAATCTAAACAACACAGTTAAGTGCTATAGAAGTTTCTCTGCTAAATCAGTAGATTAATAAACACTTTAGCTTAGTCGTAATGGGCAGCACGTTCCCCCTGGTAAATAGCATTCCCACACTAATGAACAGTGCCAGTTTTGAACATGAGGTTTAGAACTGTTCTTTAGTTATTGTAACACAGGCTACTGTAAATCCTTAATTTATGTAAAATGATTTAAGGAAGTGAGGTTAGTAGAGTATGTCCAGGAAGGAAGCCTAGTCTTTCAGGTCTCGAGTTTATAAACTGATCAAACACCAAAAATTACTAAATTGGTTGTTTGCATCCTGGAATATATTTGCCTTTACAAACTTATATATGATGGATAAACTCCCTAATCAGCTCAGAAAATATTGCTAATCCTACAGGTTAGTTGGCCTGAATTAAAATGAGATTGCTAAAGAATTTGATTACTAACTAGAGCATTGTTTCTATGTGGTGGTTTGTTCAGAAACACCACACTGCCTAGTGTTGGGATTGTAGGCCAGACAGTGAGGGTACTGTGTCTGTTGGTTAGAGGTGGGTTTCATGGCCTGAGGGTCTCCAGCAACAGTGGAGAGGAATGAATTCAGGACCACCAGGGAGTCTGGGGGGCAGGGTGGTGAACAGAAAGGAGAGTGGAATTGTTGGTTGCAAACTGTCCACGCTTTCCTCGATTGGCTCATTTTCTTCTCAGACGTGGCCTGCCTGCTGCTACTTGTGGGTTTATTAGCTCCCCCATAGTTCATCTCCTTCCGCCTTCACTGGAGGAAAGGATGCTGCTGCATAGCTTCCTTCATATCAAGTAAACACACAGCACCTTTTCATTATTGTAGTGCTAGTAATTACGGTTTGACTGCCCAGGAATAGGATCGGGGTAAAAAAAATTATCTACTTTTCTTTTTGAACATTCATAGACGTTGCTGGGAAAGATGCACAGATGTGAAGGGGGAAGGTGTTGAGTAAATTGAGGATGATGCTAATATTTCTGCATTTTAGGGGACACCTCAGTTATCTCAGGGCTGACTTTGTGGAGTTAGACTCACACCCTTAAGCCAATGTTTTTCAAAGTGTGACCCTCAGATCAGTATATTAGCTGCATCTGGGAACTTGTTGGAATGCAATTTCTCAACTCCCATCACAGGCCCTGAGAGTCAGAAGCTCTGAGGCGTGGGCAGCAACTGTCCTTCCAGGTGATAATCATTTGAGAGCCACTCTAAGCCAAGTACTTTCTCGGTTTTCTCTTTACATTAGTCCTACCTTAGAAAATGGTTCCCAGTACTCATGAGACAAACTGTGGCCACCAGGACGTGAGGGAGGGACCACAGCGGCAGGGCCTCTTTGGTGACAAAAAGGGGAGGTGACCCTGTGCAGCCACCAGGTCACCACCCCCTTTCTCCAGACAAGATGGGGCAGGTGTACACTTGTAAATGAAGCCTATCTGTACTTGGTTGTGTTGCTCTCGGCTGAGGTACCACAATATCAAAGTTTTCAAAGCTGTGGAGAATTGAAAATGAGACACCCCTCCCCCCTTTTTTTTGAGGAGAAAATCAAAGTAGGTACTGTTGTAAATGTAACAAAAGTTCTCCAGAGTCTTTGTTGTGTGGTGGTCCATCTTTTTCTCCTCTTCAAGTGAGGAGAGATCTGCATGGCTTAAAGAACTACCAATTGCTCTTCACAAAGAACACAGAGCTCAGTTCCATTTCAGTAGGTCAAAATATTGGGCTGCACATTTAGCTGGGGTAAGGAAGAGGCTGCTAATATAATCAGATTTTAGGAGAATAATAGCTATTTGTCTCCCTTGGTTTATCAATTTAAAAGACTTGAGGCTTAGGCCATAAGCTTTAAGAATCTAATTATCCTATTCAAATTCTCATCCTGCTTCCAGACATTCAAAAACAAGAACAAACAGGCTATAGCACTTAGCAATATTAACAAATGGTTTTACTTAGGAATGGAAGATCTAAGATTTGAGCAGAACAGAACAGCCTTTGAAATGCACACAGTGAATTACTTAAAATGATACAAAGTTTTCAGGTACAAATTCAGGGTGGAGTGGCAAACAACTGGAAAAATATCACTAAATCTAGAAGGGAAAGTTCTTGAGAAATATGTAAAATCCTTAGAAGCTCCTCCTTCGGAGGACATTCCGCCTTAGGACGTCCTCTGAGGAAGAAATATGAAATCAGGCCCATCCTGTCTATAGGTTTGAATTTGTGATTTTTAAAGAAAGAATCTATGCAGCTGTGGTTTTGTTATGGAAAATACTTCATCTATATGTATATATACTGTAAATAAATAGGAGACTGTATATTTTTGCAGTTGTTGATCCACTCTGAAATAGAAGTCTGTAGTATCTGCATAGAAAGAATAAATGTTTTCATAGCTATTAGTGATTTTATTTGGAAATTAGAAAAATTTATATTCTTTCCCAGGTAGCAATGTAAACTTGGGACCTAAACTCATACTTGATTGTTTAGCAAAAGAAATGTCTGAGAAATAGTTGTATTGATTTCTTATGCTGGTACTAATTATTTA